AGAACAATCTTCTAAAATATTGCCATCATTTAGCATGCATCGAAGGTAATGTTAAATTATGCATTCAAGGCTGTCGCGGTCCATGAACTAACAGGGAAAAAAGAAATAGATTTTTTTTATGTATTTCACGCCTAATTGTAAAAACCTTAACTAGTTTAGTGTGTCATTTGCAACGAACATCATGCTTCTCTTAAACGTTATGTGTCTAACCACTTTCGGAAAATTACCGGAAGGAATAAACGGGGAGGTAAGTTAGTCGCATGAGACTGATTTTCTTGAAACGTTTAATCTTTCAGTTATTGACAAAGAATACATCAGTGATTGCGGAATGCCTAAAGGAAGAGAAGCCTGAAATTGAACATTTAAATAAGTTAAGGGAGGGAATATTCGTAAATGATACTAATTTAAAATGCTTTGTTAAATGTGCAGTAATTAAACTCAATGAGATGACCTCAACAGGTGAGTTTCAAATGGATACCATCAAAAGCCGAATTCCTGTTAAATTAGATGAAGAAACCAAAACAAATATAACGAGTACGTGGTAATGAAAACAATATGACCGATCCGTGCGATCTTGCATACGAATTTTTGAAATGCATGTCCCATGAATTGTATAAACTGTATAATTAGCTAATAATAAATTGTATGTTATCATTAGGTAAACGAATCCTTTGCATCTGGTAAGCCAGTTTGAGTTGACTTGATGAACAGCATGCATGCTTCAATTTCGAGGTGATATTCTCATTCTTATTAGTGTGCGAATGTTTTATTTTTTTTTATTTGAATTAAACATGCCCGTTCGTTGTCACGAGCGACTTTGTAGCAGTGGCGTGAGTTCAGTTTAGAAGCCCGCCTTCAAAAAAATTTGGGGCTCTTTCCGTTACGCTTAAGTTAACCATAAATATAAATGAAAGTTCACTAGAAATACACGCCCAGAAGACGTTACTCGACTCTGACTAAAAAGACTATCTGCAGGAATTGCTTGTGAGGGCTTCGGAAGTGATCATTTTAGCCCAATTATGTCTTCGCTGTTCAGCGTTTTTTTTGCTCTTCTCTTGGAGGTCTAAATTCAAAATTTCAAACGACAAGTACCGTTGGCGATATAGAGAAACCGCTGGAGATACATTAACCTTTAAATACAATGCTGTCATTTTTCAAGTGTCACAATTTGTATATCAGCAATTTTTAAACAATGGCTGCTTCCCCAGGCGAAGCGGTACTAAAATGTCTGTTGAACGACTCTATCAATTACTATTTTCATAGAAAGTAGTAAGCGTACACTTGAAGCGCTTCGGTTTGGGCAATGTTAGTTTGTATATGTAGGAAATAGTGTCTTGATTTAGCTTTGCTGATTTTGCATTTTGAAGTTCATACAGGTCCATTGTAAAACGCCACTTTGCTTTCTGCGATCAGTCAGAGTCCATTTCAAATTGTCAAGTTTTGTGTATAGTGGGAGCGGCTCGTGATAAATATTGTTATTATTCGGCATTTCATATTAAAATTGTGCAACTTGGAACATATGTTCCCTAGACCTATTGGAGTGATTTGAGTCGCAGAGCCGGAAGTTCCGTCCCTTAGGATTGAAAATGGCGCCAATTTTTAAAATTTCAGGAAATATATGTTTTTTGAGCAATTTTTACGTTTGGGGTGACGTTTACCAGGTTTCCGACGGTGAATATGACAAAAATAATATCCAAAGCTAATTTCTGTGTGGGAAGCATGTTTCATTTATTATATATAGGCCAATTGTATGATATCTTTAACGTCCGACAAGATTCAAAGGTTTTGACCGATTTTCGTAGTTGAGGTGACGTTTCTGAGATTCTTTTGGCTGAAGATTACCAAAAAAGACCCATCAAAGGCCTTTTTAATGAAATTTTTTGTATTTTGAATAAACAGATCGAGGTTAACTAAGTTCAAAACTGAAACTTATTCATTGAATCCTGTTTTTAACTAAAAATGGTTGATTATTGAAACGTATTTACAAGTAAAAAGTCATCGGTCATCAAAGGGAAATGCCTCATCATCGGTCAGATCTCCTGTTGCAGTCGAGCTATAAAAAATATTATTTAAAATCATTAAAAATAAAACGCTGACAGTCATGTTTATAATAAGCATGTATATTCGGCTGCGATTTTGGCAGTTAGAACTCTGTAGGGTGCAGGGAAGGTTATTTCGTAAACATGAGCACCTCATGGTCTCACAAATTGACTTACAGCCGCATTTTCCTACGATTGAGAACGCTTTCCCTTTTGATGGGATGCAAGTTACAAGAAGAGGCGGATGGGCGAATCATCCTCCATGCGAAAGATATGGTAGAGCATGGAGCCCAGAACATCCTCGTCCAGTCTTGAGATACTGACATTCTGATGGTCATATATATTTTGTTTTTTTTTCTAAGAGAATTCGGACTGAAAGCAGGATATCTGTCAGGTGTTGGGGCCAAGCGTCGATATATAGCGACCCATTTGATTGTATTAGCACTTGGAGAATAAAATTCACAAGCCCTACGAGGCTTTCATTGTTACACAGGTTGTGCCACAACGCCCTGCTTCAATCCTATTGGAAACAAGAAGGCGTTTATGACTTGGATGAAACGCCCGGACGTGACACCAGCTTTACTTGAACTCTCCAATTCACAAAGAGGAATAACAGAAAAAAACAATTAAAACTTTGGAAGAATTTACTACCGTTCTCTATGACCCCGAAGCACAGGAGAAATCCACTACTAATGTGGGAAAATATTTATTTTGTACCAAAAATAAATTACTGCAGTTCCTGTCCCCAATCAAGCAGGTCATGTGTTGCGGGGGCACTGCTTCTATCCTACTGAATGCCCTCCACATCCGTCAACTTGGGGATGGACACGAGGCAAAGTGCGCTGGGAATCAAACTGGACCAAATAGGTGTAAATATGAAAGGAGCTCACAATCCTAGGGAAATGCGGCTGCAAATGAACTTGTGAAACCATAAGGTGTTCATGCTTGCGAAACAGCCTTCCCTGCACCCTACAGCATTCTAACTGTAAAGAACACTGCAAAAATCGGAGCCGAGTATATATGTACATATATGTACATTATTTTGTCAACGTGACTGTCAGAGTTTTATTTTTAATGATCTTAACTAAATATTTTTCTATATCTCGACTGCAACAGGAGATCTGAGCGATGATGAGGCAGTCCCCTTTGATGATTTATGACTGTTTACTTGTGAATACGTTTCAATAATCAACAATTTTTAGTTAAAAACCGAATTCAATGAATAAATTTCACCTTTGCAGTTTACCTCGACCTGTTTATTCAAAATACTTAAAAATTCATAAAAAATAGCTATTTGTGTATTAAGAGCGCAAAATGACATTGTCGATTGAAAGAGACATTTGCCGCGCTAATCTCTTGAAATCAACAATCAATTTGCGCTCGAATTACACACAAGATTTTTCTACAATCGAGCAATTCACATATTTCCAAAAATTTAAATTTTTCACTCAAATATAGATTATTATTTTAATCTTATGCCCAAATGAAAGATGTCATTTACTCGTTGTCATTGGATACTCTGAGCAATGCATTTTTGATTATTATAGTTTATAATTTGGAGAGCGAGCGTTTTTTTAATTTTGCTTATAAGCAACAAATTGACATTCTTCGAAAAATATGACGTTTGCGTTGTCAAATAGGAGCGCAAATGCCTACTTTGGATATCGATTGTAGAAAAAGGTCTTTAATGGGTCTTTTTTGGTCATCTTCACCCAAAAGAATCTCAAAAACGCCACCTCAACCACGAAAATCGGTCAAACTTTCCAAGAAACTTTCGAATTCTGTCGGACGTTAAAGATATCATACAATCATGCTTCCCACACAGAAATTAGCTTCGGATATTGTTTTTGTCGTTTTCACCCTGGGAAACCTCGTAAACGTCACCCTAAACGTAAAAATCGCTCTAAAAACAGATATTTCCTGAAATTCGCCTCAATTTTGAAAATTGGCGCCATTTTCAATCCTGGGGGACGGAACTTCCGGCTCTGCGACTCAAATCACTCCAATAGGTCTAGGGAACAAGTGTTCCAAGTGGCACAATTTTAATACGAAATGCCGTTTGTTCTCACGGGCCGCTCCCACGAATAGTAATATTTGTGCAATAACAAAACGTAGTGTACTTAATTTTTAATTGGAATTCTTCGATTTATGGTGACTTTTGTATTGCCTTGAGCTACTTGTAAGTAGGAGTAGGTAACCCTTGAATTTATTTGTTTCACTTTAAATGTTATCGTTATTTTGATTTGTTTAAGATTGGCCAGTTGTTAATATTCTTTCGATGTTTAATCTAATTTAGTTTGATTAGCGACTACAATTCTTTGTGTATGAATTTCCTTGTTTGAGTGTTACTGATTCGTCCATGCAAGGATAAATGCTTAAAAAATTACTTAGCGGCATTCATCTTGAAATACATCTTTAGGCTAAGGTTACCGTATCCAGTATCTTGAGATACCTTCTGGACTCGAGAATGTGCGGCAAATTAACAAAGTATTTCATGTACTTTACGTAAAGAAACTTCGGAATGTTATTTTTCACAAATGAGAAAAGAGTGGATTTGCTTTTAAGTCAATTTTGAGTTGTCTACTTTTGAATATATCAAATTTTGTATTATTAGCAGCCATTTCGCAATGAATCTCGACCGACTCCACCACTTCAGCTGTCGGAAAACGCACACCTCGCTTTTCTTCCTTCGACATTGTACCCCTCTAATCAATTTCCTGAATTTAAATTAAATTGTTGATTATCAGTGAGCAAACGCATTAAAATGAGATTTCACGTTGAAAATTATGACAATTTATTAGCATCCAAATTAAAATTGGCAGCGCCACGATAAAAACTCCCATAAGAATTGCATTGTCCTATGTTCCCTGTACTGTAAAATCAAGGCGAGACGGACTATAGGGACGTAGGACGTAATTTACATTTTTTACTCGTTCGTCGGTAGTGATAAATGAGAAAAGGTTACAAATTGATGCACACTTTTACTTATAATGGACAATTATTGATATAAGCGAGTTCAATAATCACAAAAGGCAATAGCAACAAGTTGTTCAGTTATGCATCGCAGTAACCGCATAGTCATTCATCTATTCGCAAAAGGTGGTCTTATTCTGAATGATTAACAAGCTCCGTCATCAGTACCATTGTTCCTCCTTAAGCAAACTTGAAATCTGTATGCTATTTCGCATTTGTCTTTGCCTCCGCGATGTCCATACTTTTGGCAAGTATCTACCGCTTGCTCAGACTCATTTCCAAGATGATACTTTATCATATCTGCATTTATAGATCCGTTCACCATATGATTTTGACCTTCCATGACACATGCATAGAAACATTTCGACTCTTGGTCGTCGAAAATTGTATTCTGAGTGTAATTTCCTGCGGCAAATGAATTTTCGTCCGAATTGATGCACGACATAATCGCGCCCATTTCATCCTTTTCTTTCTGAAACGTTACAAGATAGCACGTGGTACTAAGAATATTAGTTTTACCATTTCCTCTTGCGCTAACAGGAGCGAGGCACTGAATAAGGTGCCAACGAATGACACGATTAAGATCTTCATTGTTCCCTTGCGTTTGAAGCACTATGTACTTCTTCAATAGTAACCGTCCTATTTATACCAATGCCAAACTATAGACACGTCCAACTCCAATAACGGTCAATGCTGTAAACTGTGTGGGAAAATGTTCAGTCACATAAAGAGAGAAAATTACGCTTATTACACACACAAAGCACATACATCATCTCTTAAAAAAATTGAATGGAATTTACGTATTTGTTACATCACATTTTTTAGTCCTTTAAAATATTTTGTTAAAAATTTGCAGATTAATTTTCGTAAACTGTGACGGTGAACATCGGACTGCGCCTATTCTATCGCCTCCAACAAACCAAAAACAGTACCTCTAACCAACCCCAAACCTCAAATTCAAAACCTTCTTATAAATACGTTACTCTAGGAACCACCCACGCTCCCAATCTTCTCGATCTCCTTCCCTTACTGATCTCATCCAAACTATCTGACATACATATGATATCCCCATTTTGTGAACAAATTAAAAAGTTCATCCTCTCTACTCTCATTGACAACAATTATAATGCCCACGGCCTACTAAAACAAGGACAGCTCGTTATTTCATTTTTGAACCGACACAACGTTGACGTATTAATTATTACAGAAACTTATTTAGCACCAGAACAACAATTTCGAATACCACTCTATAATATCTACAGAAATGAGCGTTATCTCCAACTAGCCCTTGGGAGGAATACCAATAATTAGCAAAAAAAGACATTAAACGCTCATACATAAGATATTAAAGGGCAAATTAACCTCGAAACCACTGCTACCAACTTAGAATTAACCTACAGGTGAAGTGTGAATATCATTACAGTCTACAAACCACGGAAGCACTTTGCCCAGGTAATATCCCCACTTTAGCAATTGGCGACTTCAATTGTACTAGCAACAACCCACGTAGAATCGGTCTATACGAATACATCTTGAACAACACCATCCAAGTGACAGCTCCAACAGAACCCTTACACTACCCTTATCGCAGGGGTAATCGCGGTGACATCTTGGACATCTGTCTTTCCTTCCCTTTCCTATTTACTAAACAGTTCTGCTTGAACTAGACTCCGATCATCTCCCAGCGTTACTTTCCTCTGAGAGCACACCCAAACACAGGAACAGGTAACTAGGACTGCTTCTAGACTACTATTATTGAAATGATAAATTACCCAATAATACTGAAACGTAGAGAGATATCGACACAGAGCTCGGGAATCACGACGTCCGTAATCAATCCTACTATTTGGCGAGCTACAAAAAGAATTTTAAATTGACAACCGCAGGTCTCCACCATCCACAATAATATCAAAAATACTTCACAGATGCTGAAAAATGCGACACTACACCCAAATCCCAGCACACACAAGAGGTACCCCTCCTGAAGAACTACTCGATCACAGTCACAATCTGCCCCTTCACTGATATCACAAATATAATTCTGAAAAACTTCACACGCTCTTTGATAACTATCATCTCATTAGCTTCATCCCTGCACTATCCGAGCTATTCGAAAGAATCATATTTTCCCGTATAAATACCTTCTTAATCGATAATCAGATCCTTCCATGATATCAATTAGTCCAGGGAATAGAGGGTTTTAACTTGCAAAATGAGAAGTTCCAATTTCTTTTGCATTTCATAGACAGTCATCTGGTGGTTTTCGACCTTCCACCCCTTGTGCTTCCTCCGTACCACCCCCAAAACCTCCGAAATTGGGTTGGTTTCTTAGTTTTTCAATCTTTGATATATACTACTTTTTTGGAAAATGTTTATTAAAATTGAGCTGTTTTTGTTATTTCGTTCTTGTACCACTCGATAAATTAAATCAAAAAACCGAAATGTTTATAAATATGTAATAGCGGACTGTATCGTGTGACTGAGCTTGTAAGACTGCTTTACCTAAGTAAGGGTTGCTATATGTACAGTAACTTTGGGAGGGGGGAACAACTAAATTTAAACAAGAGCTTCAAATTTGCTTATATTTTTAAGAATTCTGAAATGTGTATATAGATCTATTAACGAAATTTTATACTTTATCTCTATCATTAAGAGTTCTATGAGAAAATATCTTGAACTTACCGTGGTATAAATCCCCCCACCCTGCACCCCTACCAAAGGAGTTGCATAATAATTCAACTTTTAACCCTTGCTAGTTGTGATATTTGAATCACTGTGAGATTGTAGCGCTTTCTAATATACGTTTGAAATAAAAAAAAATTGTCTCATTTCAGTTCAGTTGAATCTCCTTCTGAAAAGGATGAATATTTCAACCCCCTTGTGGCGATTGATGAGTTATTCAGAAGGTACAACGCTTACTATTTAGCCGGCTCGTGTGGCGCAGTTCAGTTGAAACTGGACTGTGGTACTAAGGGTCCCTGGTACCCTTATATTTTCTAATCCTCTTGATCCAGATCCACCCCCTACTAAAATTAGCACTACACTTTATTACGACAAATTTTTATATCTATTGGCTTTGAGGCTTATTTACGCTTATCACCTTCTACCCGGCCTCCTACTTACCACATGAAAAGTAAAAATTTTAAAGTGCTAGAGGAGTAAAATACTTGGGACTATCTTTTGGTAAAATGTTCTAGTTCTATTTAGAATTCGGGATAGTCCGAGGGATAGACTTTAATAGCTAAATGTTTTGACTGGTAACTTGTAACCAGAAATCTGTAGAGCGCTTTACTTTTGAGACTGACAACTATTATAAATTTCCCGTCAAAGGTTTTGATGGAGGTATTCCGTCAAAAACAGTACATTTTTTATCTGACCTTAAAATAGAATGACAATAATGCGTTTCATAATCCATTCTATATAAAGAATATTTCAGAACCTTTTTCAGTTGAATCCTGAAGTTCACTAATTTATTCGGTACACTATGCTTATATTTTCCGTTTACATAACATAATTATGAAAGTTCACAGAACTTCTTTAGGTACTTTAGTTTAGAGTTATCGTTACCATAAATGCTATCGACAGACCTTAGTCCTGCACTTTTACATGAGTCAGTTAAAACACCGCTTCGTATTAATTTCAGAAGAAGCATTCCTATTCACGTCGAATGGACTACAACATCAAAAACGTCTGAATAAATACCGTCCTCTGAAATGTTTGTTACCGTATAATTATCAAAATGTAAACAGCAATGTTTTTTGCAGTTACTTTGAATTTGGATGTGTTTAGGCGTAGACACATTTTGTAAAAGGATTTTAATTTCACATCATAAACTGTGGCACAGTATTTGCAATTAATGGATCTCTTTTAGCTCCAGACATATCTTTCTGTGAAAATACAGGGTGTTTCTAAATGAGTATCGGAGTTTTAACGCTTTATGATTTTTATTACATACTACATACAACAAGTGTTTGTTGAGCAATTGTTGCAATATCTGCCTCAAGCCTGTTTCTTAGGTCAGTTGGTAATGGAGGCACATGCACACGATCCCTTATAAATCCCTAAAGGTAAAAATTACATGACGCCATATCGAGTGAACGTCATTGTATCCAACCGGTGGATGAAGGTACCGCAAAGCAACGTTTCGCATGGCCTTCACGTTCCATGTGTGATTTTTACCTTTAGTGTATATAAAGGTTTGTGTGTATGTACCTCCACTACCAGCTGACCTACCCGACCTAAGAAAAAAGGTTCGAGGTAGCTGTTGCAACAATTGAAATGGAAATTCGTTTACGTATATGCATTGTAGCACAGGCGATAAGTACACAAAAAAAGTCAATCTGAACATTTTGGGAGGGAAAGCTGGATTTTGTTGAAATGTCTCAGGTTAGTTGTCCTGAATAACGTACTAAAAGTCCAGACCCCCAACTGCGCCGCTCGTCGAGCTGTGGCACGTTTTTGCTCCCCGAAATCAGTTTTTCGTTAATATCTCGAAATGTAGCAGGCTTAGAGAAAAACTTTTGAAACAAAAAATGTTCCTCGTAAAATTTCCTACACGATAGCTTATTTGCAAGTTAGCCTAGGCCTAACCGTTAGCCTACAACGCGGAGTCAAATATTGTGTTGTGATATTACGGATTTAGGTACCAAGTACCAAGTCGAGAAGGGTATTATTATATGTTGTTTCCGAATGTAAAAATTCAAAACCGTGTGCTGTATACTGTACACCAGTTACTCGTTGTTCGTGGATTTATCGAAGCGTAACGTTTGTTGGTTGAGTTGTTTGTTCCTTTTACTCGTTTAAAGAACGTATAATGGCTTCGCCAGACGAAACAATCTGTTTTATTTGTGAGAAGAATTTAGTAGGTGATGAAGAAACAGTGAAAGTGATTCGAGGGATGGAAAAATTGAGGGAGACAAGTGCAAAATATTGTGATGGGAAGTTGAAATTCATGGAAGGAAAAGACAGTATAACTGTCCACAAGAAATGTCGAAATCGGTACACCAAAAGCTGGTACGTGGATGCAGAGGTCCGACGGAGAACACAGTTAGACGATGCACAGGTTGGTTTCAAGGTATACTTAAAATTACCTTGTTCGCACACGAGTAGATGACATTTTTTAATAAATAAATAAATTTTTAAATAATTAACAACAGGTTTCGCCCGTAAAAAAGCGACTACGTTCGTCAGAAGAGCCGAGTACTTCAGGCTCGGGAACGTCAACTTCATATGTTTCATTGAAAAATCTTTGTGTATTTTGCGGGGTCGTATTCGATGATGCTTATATGGTGCTACAAAAAAAACTGAGACAAGACAAGAGACAGAAAATATGTACAGTAAGTGGCCCCAATATGTGCAACCTATAAAATGCTTAGATTTTTTTCGCTCTTTTTTCACACGTACGTTACTGTTCAGGCAACAGAAATACACTTCCATACGAAAATACTTTCTGTGGCTGACAGACGAAATGATGCCTGGGGGAAGGAGGTAAAGAAGAGGTTATCAAACGTCACTGACGCCGTTGCTTCGAATGTGATGTATCACAAGAAGTGCGAAACGACTTTTAGTCGTCCACCAAAAGAGAAGAGTGACCGGTCCGAAGAAATAGACGCGAGGATGAACGAAATATATGATTTTTTGGAGAATTCGGATGATTGCCAGTTTACAATAAATGAACTCTT